AGAGACCTTAATGGGAGTCTGTGAGAATATCTGAATAATATTAAAAAAATAACATAAAGCAGTGGTTCCAAATCTGTAGTATTTATACCAACAGGGATACATAGAGACCTTAATGGGAGTCTGTGAGAATATCTGAATAATATTAAAAAAATAACAAAGCAGTGGTTCCAAATCTGTAGTATTTATACCAACAGGGATACACAGAGACCTTAAAGGGAGTCTGTGAGAATATCTGAATAATATTAAAAAATAAAAAAAATAACCCCACACCTCAAAATTGGAGAGGTGCTAAAGTAGTCTATCACCCAGTATACTCAATGTTTGATTCACCCTTGAATTATTTCTCTTAATATATATAAACCACTGTTAAGTGTTTTTTAATAAATGGTGTGTGTCAGGAGTACACCACTGGCTCAGGGTCTAACTCAGAATACCAACCATGAAAAGACTGATACAAATGTTTATGACCATATAAAGCGTTAAACTTCAGTCTGAAAAAGACGGGTCTTAGTACTAACTAAACAATAAAGGCCAGGTGTCGAACTATTCTCCTATGAATGGTATTTTTGTATTAACGCCAGTCTCTACATGGTGATTATTATTAGGAGGTTTTTAATAGTATACATTTATTTCTTTTTACATCAAAGAAAAGGATACGATGATCAGTAGGAATGAGATCATCATCATGGTCGAGGAAGAGCAGTGAGAAAATTGCCACCAGGAAACACATGGCTCCACGAAACTGTAAACATAAGAAGTTCATTAACTCACAGCAAAATTAACAACTGCTCCTCAATTAAAAATCTCAAGAGCTAACTACAAAATTTGGATTCTGATGGTGGATGTTTCAATTCCAAAAACTTAAAATACTGATTGTATCAGTATCATGCTATATTTTATGCATTTATCATTTCATTTCAATGACCCCTTAATGATCTTAATAATATTCGGTCTTTTTTGTTTTCTTATCAAGTTCAGAAGCTTATGGAACATGTAGTAGATGTAAGTAACGGCAATTACCAAATTTATATATAATCATAGTAATCTGAGGTTCATATACTATATAGTATAATATATATATTATCTCCTAATTAAAAAATGTTAACAAGTTTCAAATGCACAGTTGAACTTGGTCTTTGCTGTCATTGTAACGCAAGATGTTACACAATGGGTTATCTGTGCTCTGCCCACTGTAGGTATTGAAACCTGACTTCTACGATTATAAGCTCTCAGATTGATTGCTGACCACTGGGTGGGTAGCTTGATCTGCCCACTGTACCATGACAACCACATACTATACCATGACAACCATAATCACAAAATTTTAAAATGATATGACATAAAAATTCTACTTGCTTATTATAAAATTTCATGAATGAGGAATATTCACACACAGTCATCCCTCATTTGAACAAGGACTATTCACACATAGTCATCCCTCATTTGAACAAGGACTATTCACACACAGTCATCCCTCATTTAAACGAGGACTATCCAAACACAGTCATCCCTCATTTAAACGAGGACTATCCAAACACAGTCATCCCTCATTTAAACGAGGACTATTCACACACATTCATCCCTCATTTGAACGAGGACTATCCACACAAAGTCATCCCTCATTTGAATGAGGATTATTCACACACAGTCATCTCTCATTTGAACAAGGACTATCCACACATAGTCATCCCTCATTTGAACGAGGACTATCCACACACAGTCATCCCTCATTTGAACGAGGACTATTCATACACAGTCATCCCTCATTTGAACAAGGACTATCCACACATAGTCATCCCTCATTTGAACAAGGACTATCCACATATAGTCATCCCTCATTTGAACGAGGACTATCCACACATAGTCATCCCTCATTTGAACGAGGACTATCCACACAAATATATATATATACTGTATCACCAAGTGTTGTCATGTCAGGATATAAATATCTGTATATTTCCACATAAAATTTAACTCTGTTGATATTAAAGATTTATAATTGATGAGGAACAAAGGATATTTTTTTTCTTTCCAGTATTTCTACTGCATTTATTGTGATTCAGAAACCTTTTTCTTCCGGAAAGAAGCTCTCCAAAAAACAGGTAAATGAACTTAAGAATGTGAAGAACAATTTAAAACATGACCCATTAATCAAGCTGATAATCTTATTAAAAACCACATTCATTAATTAATTTAATTATGGGTTAAATAGTGTTAAAATCTCTCTTGTTGGCTGTTAATAGCGTGTGGGTTACTTTTTACTAACATTCTGTATATGTGGTTTCATATATTTTTATAATGTAATTCCTAAGTAAGTGTTTTACTTTCATTATTTTTTCAGTGGCTACATATTGTTCGTCATGCTATAATTAACTCAGCTCTCTCTCTACTCACCTTTTTTGGGTTGACGCAGTGTGGTCCATTGCGAACAGCGCTTCTGGTCCAGCACAACGATTTAGTTGTTATTGCAGTGTTCAGGTCAATATTCACTGGAGCAGGTGGACATTCGAAGGTAAGTGGTTATATTGTTGTGGGGTGGGGATGACTACTTGGGACACCCAGACTTTTAGGCTCTGAGTGTACTACAAGAATAGTGGTCAAATCCCACTATTTGGTCAGATAGGAGAAGCCCAAGAGTTGGCAGTTGTTGCTGTTGACAATCTGCTCTACCTATAGTCTGTCAATTTAAAATGAGGGATGACTGTGTTTGGATAGTTCTCATTCAAATGAGGGATGACTATGTGTGAATAGTTCTCGTTCAAATGAGGGATGACTAAGAATAAAAATTCTACAAGTTCTTAAAATATGAACTTAATGTATAACCTTTAATTTTCTTTTCTCTGATTTCTGTACATAAGATATTTTACAATCTTTCTTTAACAAGTATTTACACTGCTCCAAATGTTTGTGTGTATCTTGTGTTTGTTTCTTTTATTGCCAACACCAACCTCTGTCTTTCAGGCTCTTGCCAAGAAGCTTAGACGTCATAACTTACATTTTGTAATCTTTACATTTTTTCAAGAGAGAAACAAAAACTGACTTACTATAAAATGAACAAGCTATTGTATGAACTATATATATCAGTGGTTTTCTTTCACTGATGGTACCCTAACCCACTTTCCTTGATTTGTGTGACACCCCTCCCCTGTTGCCACATGTAATATTTTTGTATGTACATTTTTTTTATTGTTATTAATTATTCTTCGTTTGGTGAAACTCTCACGATACCCCTATCAACTTACCACGACATATATATATGATTGTAAAAAACATTTAAGTTCTTTGAGAACTTATGTTATTTTTCGCATAGAACTTGACACAAAATTAAGCAAAATGCCAAACTACTGATAATATCAATAACTTTCCTGACAGCAGATATAATGATATACCTACTTATGGTGTTACAATAACAGTTAGGTAAAAAGACAATCTTAGAGAGAGAAAATCACAACATTGTAAAAATTGATAAAAAAAAGTGCCAATCAAAGAAACTTTTCAGTCTTAATAAAAACTTTAACTTGCATGTTATGTTTTATAGATATTGTAATGATTACAAGTTGCTATGTTAAAAGAGAAAAATATACACCTGAAAAATTCAGATAAACCACATAAAATCAGTACTGAAAAAAAAACAAAAACAAGATTCTTAAACTTACAAGCTGATTGGCTTTAATAACCAATACAGTGAATGAAATTCACAGCAGCTTAGTTGGCAATAGAATCTGCCCGAGAAGCAGATACAGAGTTTAAATCCTGCTCAATATCAATTTTCACTTCTAGAGAAAACTTCCAACTGAGAAGCTGATGAATTTAAATTTACCTTAAAATCATTTTCCTGGAGAAATTAAAAACGAAACGTTTACACTCAATGATCTACACGTATTTTCAGCATCTAACATAACATTGCTGTGTAAAACTGACCAGCAAGAAATAAGTTCTAGTCTATATTCGTTAATAAACCTATTGATATCAAGTTCTCGGGTTCCAATAGTAATGACTTTAATAAAAACTACTAAACTAAAAAGAAAGTAAAGTAAGTATGCTACATTTTTTCACATCCCGATTTTTAGCTATCTCCTAGCATAGTTCACAGTATACAATGTTCTTATGCGATAAAAAATGTCCCTCATCATAGAGTTATATAGTTGATATCTGTTAAATGTTGTCTGATCACGGCAACCCAAAAACAACTTTAAACACTTACTACACAAATTCTAAAATGTTTAAAATAATTCATAGAAATACCTACATGGCTTTGATAATGAACAGAAACTGCACTACATGAACTAAAATGTTTAAAATAATTCATAGAGATACTTACGTGGCTTTGATAATGAACAGAAACTGCACTACATGAACTAAAATGTTTAAAATAATTCATAGAGATACTTAC